GATTGAAACTTTTGACGGTTGTTGACTTGGTTGCACAGGTGTATGCCTAGAAACTCTACCAGGCTGGAGAACTACTTGAAGGACTCTCAGACCCTGAGAAAATATTCAGGGCATTGAACGTGCCAACAAAAGACTTCAACCACCTCAACAAACAGACAAATTCGAAACTGACATGGGAGACGCAATCGACCCCAACGGAAACGGCAGGCATGAGCAAGTCAACTTGAATGTCACAGAAGTGGCACCTCTGGTGCCCGAGGGTGCACTGTATGACTGGGCACAACCCACAACTAACAATTTGGCTACTGCCATAGTTGTGCCCGCAATACAAGCTGAGTCGTTCCATATTACAAATAACATGCTGCACTTGTTGCAAAACAAGGGACTCTTCTCTGGGACACAACTTGAAGATCCTCAGCAATACCTGAAGAACTTCCTGTCAATCTGCAAGACCCAGAGGCAGCCCAATGTCACTCCAGAGGCTATCAGGCTATTATTGTTCCCATTCTCGGTGACAGGAGCTGCACAGGTTTGGCTAAACTCACTCCCCATAAATTCTATAGCAACGTGGGATGAGTTAGTCAAGCAGTTTCATAACAAGTTTCATCCANAATAACAAGTTTCATCCACCCAATAAAACTGCCCAACAAATTGATGAGATCATGAGCTTCAAGCAGAAACCGATGGAGACACTACATGAAACATGGGGTAGGTTCAAAGGAATGTTGGTTATGTGTCCACATCATAGTATTCCAGAACAGATGTTGGGACAACGATTTTATATGGGACTGTTAGATGGGTTGAAGAATATTGTGGATGCCTCAGCTGGTGGGGCATTCCTGAGCAAGACATGGAGTGAAGGTCAGAGTTTACTAGATAAAATGGCACAGAATTCGGGATGGACATCCAGGAATGCACCCATCACTCCAGTGGTGCACTCAGTGCCTCTTGATCCTTCAAACACTATGGCTGAAAATATGGCAACTCTCCTGACACAAATGAGCATCCTCACCAAAAAGGTGGAGGAATCAGGGCAGAAGCAGCAGGTACACATAGTAGATACTACCAATGGGGGCCTGTGCACATCTTGCATTAGTCAGCCAATTGGTAATCCTTGGAATACAGAGCTTGATCATCATCAGCAGCACCCTGAAGATATGAACTATGTTGCTAACTATGGGGGTCAGAGTACAGGGAAATCAAAACTGGGGTCAGCAAACTCAGCAGCAGTACAGACCACCTCAACCACAATATAACGCCGGAAACATGGGAGGTATGAGACCCCCCAACAACATGGCACCGTATCCTAGACCACAGGGGTACAACAATCAGCAGCAGGGGTACCACCCTCCTCAGCAGCAGCATGGTGGAAGACAGGACGATGGGTTTGCTAGACTGGAAGCAATGATGCAGCAGGTTATTAGGTCCACTGCGAAGATAAACGAGAGAGTAGATGCACATGACGCAACTATCAAAAATATTGAAGTGCAAGTGGGACAAATTTCAATGTCTCTGAACAATCGTCCTCAAGGGACGCTACCTGCAGCTACCCAAATCAATCCTAAAGATCAGGGCCCGAAGCAGCTGATGGCGGCGAGTCTCCGTAACGGCAGGGATCTCGACAAAGATCAAGAGAGAGCTCGTGACAATATATAGGCTGAGACACTCATTTAGGTACCCATTGAGCTGGATGAATCCACAAGGTTGACAGATGTGATAGTCCAGCCTGCTTAGGAAGAAAAGAATACTCAGCAGGAGACCGAGAAAGTTGCTGAAGTAGTTGAAGAGCTGGTAGTGAAGATAGTAGCCGAGAAAGAAAAGTCCCAAGTGATTGGGAAGAAAAGACCTCCTCCACCATTTCCACAGAGGTTAGCCAAGCATCAAAAGGAGGAGTAGTACAAAAAGTTCTTTGAGATGCTCAAGCAAATTCAGGTAAATATTCCATTGATTGAAGCCTTAAAGGAGATGCCTGGATACACAAAAATGATGAAAGACTTAATGTCCAAGAAATTTGATTTCCAAGACTTGGCTACGGTGACACTTACTCAGACGTGCAGTGCAGTGGTAACTAGACCTGTTGCTGAAAAGCTCTCTGATCCAGGGAGTTTTACTATTCCATGTACAATTGGAAACTTTGCTTTTGCGAAAGCACTCTGTGATTTAGGGGACAACATTAATCTTATTCCCCTGGTCATTTACAAGAGGTTGGGCATAGGGAGAGCTAGACCCACCTCCATGTTGCTACAGCTGGCTGACAGGACTGTGAAGCGTCCATTTGGGATCCTGGATGATGTACTTATTCAGGTGGGGAAATTCGTGTTCCCTGCAGATTTTGTAATATTGGATTGCAAGGTGGATGAAGAAATTCCTATCATCTTAGGAAGATATTTCTTGGCCACAGGGAGAGCTCTTATTGATTGTGAGACCGGGGAGCTTAAGATGAGGCTCAATGACGAAGAGATTATATTCAATATGCAGAAATATATGAGGCGCCCAAGTGAGTTTGCAAATTGCTCTCTTATTGATGTCGTGGATGTAATAGTATAGTCTGATGATGAAGTGTTGACGATTGAGGATCCCCTCGCTGCATGTTTGACGAATTTGGAGGAAGTGAACGGTGAGGACTTGGCAGAATGGGTGTTGGCATTAGAAGGTAGAGGGTTCTGGGATAGAGAACTAGAGTTTGAGCCCCTACACTTAGGAAAGAGAGAAACACCTCTAGCTAAGCCATCCATTGAAGAACCACTGAAGCTGGAACTAAAGCCACTGCCAACCCACCTCAGGTATGAATTTCTGGGACCTGACTCCACTCTACCTGTTATTATCTCATCTGATTTGTTAGATGTGCAGGTCCAAAAGCTTCTACAGGTATTGAAGGAGTGCAAATCTGCCATTGGGTGGACCATGGAAGACATCAAGGGGATCAGCCCCACTTACTGCATGCATAAAATTCTGCTGGAAGAAGGGCACAAACCTTCCGGGGAACATCAGAGGAGGCTGAATCCAAATATGAAGGAAGTGGTGAAGAAGGAGGTGATAAAGTGGTTAGATGCAGGAATTATTTTCCCAATCTCTGACAGCAACTGGGTGAGCCCAGTTCAATATGTGCCTAAGAAGGGTGGCATGACGGTTGTGAAGAATGATAACAATGAACTAATCTCAACGAGAACCATCACAGGCTGGAGAATTTGCATGGATTATCGAAAGTTGAATCTAGCCACCCGGAAAGACCACTTCTCATTTCCCTTCATTGATCAAATGCTGGATAGATTGGCAGGGAGGTCACACTTTTGTTTTCTAGATGGGTACTCAGGGTACAATCAGGTCTCCATTGCACCTGAGGACCGAGAGAAGACCTCCTTCACATGCCCTTATGGCATTTATGCCTTTAGGAGGATGCCCTTTGGCCTATGCAATGCACCAGCCACATTCCAACGGTGCATGATGGCCATATTCACTGACATGGTTGAGGATATAATGGAGGTGTTCATGGATGACTTTTCAGTGGTGGGAAGTTCATTTGATGAGTGCCTGGTGAATCTGACGCGTGTGCTGAAACGGTGCATCGAGACTAATCTGGTGTTGAACTGGGAGAAGTGCCATTTCATGGTACAAGAAGGCATAGTCTTGGGGCACCGGGTGTCAAGCAAGGGAATAGAAGTAGATCGAGCAAAGGTTGATGTAATAGCAAAGCTGCCTCCACCAACTTCGGTCAAAGCAATCAGAAGTTTTCTTGGACATGCCGGTTTCTACGGGCGATTCATAAAAGACTTTTCAAAAATCACCAACCCTCTCTGTAAGTTATTAGAGAAAGATCACCCATTTGTGTTTTCTGATGATTGCAGGGTAGCATTTGAGGAGTTGAAGCAGAAGCTGGTCACAACACCCATCATTGTTGCCCCCAACTGGGAGCAACCGTTCGAACTAATGTGTGACGCTAGTGACTACGCAGTGGGGGCAGTATTGGGCCAGCGGAAGGACAAATTGATGCACCCAATCTACTATGCCAGTCGAACACTGAGTGGAGCTCAATTGAACTATACGGTGACTGAAAAGGAGATACTAGTTGTGGTGTTCGAATTCGACAAGTTCCGGCCCTACCTGATAGGATCAAAGGTAATTGTATACACTGACCATGCTGCTCTCAAGTACGTAATAGAAAAGAAAGACTCTAAGCCATGCCTGATTCGTTGGGTGTTGCTGCTGCAAGAGTTCGATCTTGAAATACGTGACCGCAAAGGCACTGAGAATCAAGTCGCTGATCACCTATCACGACTTGAGGGAGCTGAAAATGCAATTGAAGTTGAGGAAATTTGGAAACTTTTCCAGACGAGCAACTACTCGCCATCACTCATCAGGAAGCGCCATGGTATGTGGACTTGGCCAATTACCTGGCCAATGGTATAGTTCCTTACGACCTTTCATCAGTCCAGAGGAAGAGATTTTTTCGTGAAAGCCGCTTGTACTATTGGGAAGAGCCCTATCTCTTTAGAATATGCTTGGATAACATGATCCAGAGATGCGTCTCCGAGATAAAACAATCTTTTATTTTGCAGGCTTGTCATGCATCGACTTATGGTGGACACTTTGGAAGGATCAGGACAGCAGCAAAGGTGCTAGAGGCCGGATTTTTCTGTCCGACTGTGTTTAAAGATGCCCACTCATGGGTGAAGGGTTGTAATGAATGTCAACGCACCGGG